GCTCCCCTCAGCAGTGATTTCAGTCGATCTTGCCACTCTGTTCTGCTTGCCACTGTCACTGGTGTATCCTCTCACCACCTGCGCACCTCTGGCCTGTTCTTATATACATTTTTTTTTACTGAAAATTCAATTCCTGAGCCACATTCAACATTTCAAGGTCCAACATTTAAGGGACTTGTGCCTACTATCTGGGACATAGATACACACATTTCCACCAATGCAGCACTAACACAGTACACTAAAGGAAGCAAGAACTGTTATTAAAGCTTTAAAGCTAGGAAGGGGGAAAAATAGACAGGGAAAGCATTTTTCTGAGTCAATAAAATGTTTCAGGTGTCTTTTTCAGGCTTCCAAAGCTCAAGGAACAGGCAGCCCAACTATTCTTCCTTCATTAAGTCAATTTCAGAATAAACTAAGATAGCCTCAGAAGTTAAAGATAATGAAAATGGTCCTTTTTGGAAGATCTACTGAAAGTTATCTGTAATACTATTATAAAAATTTATCTTCCTTTAAGATAATTTTTGAGCTTACATTAGAAAAAAAGTTTACGGGCCCTCCCTGGTGGCCCAAGAGTATAGCACAACACTATGAAGCTATTGCAGCCAGAGCCGCACCAGTTCAATCCCTGCCAGGCCCACATGACTGGCAGGCCTCTCCTGAGCCGTCCCCTGCTCCTCTCAGCAGTGTACTTGTCTATCGCCTGTTCTGCTCCCCACTCTGTCTTTGGTGAATCCTCTCACCGCCCCTGCACCTCTGTCTGGCCTGTACCCAAGTTCTGTATGCATAAATAGATAAGTCTTTTTAAAAAATGAGTTTACCAAATGACAGGCTGTTTCACAATGTCCCAAAAATAGTTAAATGAATCTTTTATTCTCAAAATGTCCTACATACTTATTTGGCGTTTTAATAAAATTTGTATCTCATTAATCTGTAAAGATGTATTCTTTACTTGAAGCCATTCAAATGTTGAAATACTGTGATAGCTTCATTTAGTTTACAGTTTTCTCAACATATTAAAATTTTGCCTTGTCCACTCATGTCGGGGACCCAATTTTGAAATCTAAAATGTCAATAAAAAGCTCCTGAAAACTGCAGCAAGGGTAAAAACAGAGTCAGACTAGGAAAACACACTCACACACACACACACACACACAAATCCGTTTTGTTAAAAAAAAAAAGTCCCCTTCGAAAACACGAGTCACAACAATGCAGTGTAACTGGCGCAGCTGACACTCCCCCCAGAGCACAGGGAAAGCCTAAAGAAGCAGGTGGTTTGTCCTTAATAATAAACACTCATTTTCAAGTTCTTTTAAAAACAAAGGCCCAAAATTTACGCGTTATTGGGAAAGATGTACTATTCTTGTGTTGATGTGAGTAAAATATAAAAACCCATAATTCATCCTTCCCTCCAAAAAACGTGGAACCCTAGAGCAGTAGTCTGGGAGGCGGAATACACACTGGACACAAAACTCAGTGTCGCCCCCCACCGCAGAGCTCAGGAAGCCGCGTGGAGGTGAGCAGGGCCGCGGGTCACGCGGAACGCGCGTGGTGTGCAGAAAGCCGGACACCATCCGGTCGCTCCGTCCGAGTGGGCGTGGGGGGAGTCCTCACGCGCAGGGAGCTTCTGGCAGGGCCAACGTCCACGTTTCCAATTTGTAGCAGTCGGCTTCCCTCACCACACGACGGGAGCCCAAAAGCTGCCGCGACCGCGACAAGCCGAACAGAACCCCGGCCCCGGCCGCCCCAACCACCCCGAAGCCCGCTCTCCGGGGCACTCGCCCGCGCTGCCTCGCCAGAGCGAGACGACCAGCTCCGCGGAGGCGGGCCGGGCCCGGGGTGCAGCGACCCTCGCCCGCCAGCGGCCATCGGGACAAGCGCTTCCCGCCCGCGCCGCGGCGCCCGCCCCGGCCCGGACCTGGAGGCCCACACTCACCAGGCGGATGAAACCGAAGCCGCGGTCCCGGTTGATGAAGACCTCGCTGGGCTCGCCGTAGCGCTCGAAGAGCCTTTTGAAGTCCTCCTCGGTGATGTCCGTGGGCAGGTTCCCCACGAAGAGGCGGCAGCGCTGAGTGTACGTCTTCTCGCCCGGCTTGAGGAAGCTCTTGATGTCTATAGTAAAGCCCATCTCCTCGTCCGGGTGGTCCTCCGGGGGCGCGGGGACGACCGGCGCAGACTCCCCGGCCAGCGACAGCGCCATGGCTCCCGCCGGCTCGCTGTCGCCCACCGCGGACTCAAGAGCACGCAGGCGGGCCGGGTTTTTCTCGATGCGTACTTGCTTCAGGTTTCCTCTAAGCATCATCTTACCGAATTCGTTTCGGTAACTAATGGGACCCTAAGCTAGTATCTATGTGCCGAGCTATATACCGCTGGAAAGGAAATGAGAAAGTAGAGAAGACAGGTCACCGAGCCACCAGCGCCGCCACACCAGACTCACGACCGCGACGACTGCACGCTCAAAATGGCGCCGCCGCCAGCCGCAGTTAGACGCGAAAAAGTAGCCTGCAAACCCCGCCCCTCTGAAAAGGCCCGGGCTGGAACCAACGCGCGTGCGCTTCTGAGGAGCCAACGGCCCCTCCCTAGCACGCGCAAGCGCACTAGGTAGCAAGCGTTATCCTATCCTACTCCTGAGTTCAGAAAGATGCAGTTTCCCAGCCCCGTTTTAACAACAGGGACGCTTGATTCCTCTAATGGAGAAAATTGTGTGATGTAGGTAGCAGTGTGTGCAAATACATGGTTTGGGGGAATATCCATTTAGTTAAATATCTAGCTCAATTTTCAATTACTACAGAAAGGTGCAAACTTGAAAATGTTATTCATAGCGTTTTGTGACAAGAGGCTTCCAATATGGCCCTCCCTGGTGGCACAGCTGTTAAGGGAAGGGCTGGGACGCAGCACTACACTGGCCTTTGCCACTTCAGTACCAGTTCCCTCTACTGCCCCGGAGGTGACCCACGTGGCACAGCAGACTTCTCCTGACCCACCCGCTGCTCCTCTCAGCACTGTACTTCCTCTATCCCCCTGTTCTGCTCCCCACTGTCTTTGGTGAGTCCTCTCACCACCCGTGCACCTCTGGCCTGTATCCTAGTCCTAGTTCGTATGCATAAAAGATAATTCCAGTAGCTGAAATAATGAAAGTAATTGTTTCTTCTCATTTCAAGAGTAAGGCGTTCATTATATTTCCTAATAAAATAATCCAATTCTATAAAAAGATTGTGCTGTTGATCTCAGAGAAGGACTCCATGAAAGTGGTATTAACAACCTGACCACAAACTCCCAGGAACCATAGTCTACAAAGGTCAACAAACATTTTTTGTAAAGGTCCAAATATTTAAGATTTGCAAGCACAGGGTGTCTACCAAACTACTCAATTTAGCCCAAATTTCTTGCACACATGAATGTCAAAATGAAATTAATTCACACTGCAAAAAAAAAAAAAAACAGTTTCTCATGTCCTTAAACTTATACTTACTTAATTAGATCAACAATCCCTTTCTTGTTATCCTAGTCAAACTCGTGTTCAAACAAAAACCTATATGTAAATGTTTATAAGGCTGTATTTATAATTTATAATCAATAAACACTGGAAAAGACACCGCAATGTCATGTTCAACTAGTGAATGGACAAAACAGCACTATCCAGCTATCCTCCAACCACTGAAACTTGAGTTCCATCTCCAGCCAGGGAGGTAACCCACAGGGCAGAAGCAGACCTCTCCTGTCTTACCCCCTGCTCCCCACAGCAGTATATTTCAGTACATCTACCTACTTTGATCCCGACTCTGTCTCTAATGATCCTCTCACCCCCGTACCTCTAGTCTATACCCCAGTTCTTGTATGCATAAATAAAATTTTAAAATAAATCTTTTTTTAAAAAAGAAATAAACTATGACTCAACAACTTGACTCAAAAAGCTACATGGTGGAAGATTAACAAAATGTATAGAACGTGTGCCAGTGGTTGCCAGGAGCTAGGCAGATAGGAAGGTAGGAAGGGGCTTGACTATATAAAAATTTCTCAAATGACAGAATATATCTGGATCATGGTGGTAGCTACACAATAATATGTTTTTGTTAAAATTACTAAGCAGGGGCCTCCCTGGTGGCACAAGAGGTTAAGTCTCAGCACTATGAAGCTAATCCATCTCTCCTGTCTCCCCCTCTGCTCCCCTCAGCGTGTATCTCCGTAAGTTTGCCTGTTCTGCTCCCCACTATGTCTCTGGTGAATCCTCTCACCAGCCCACTTCTCTGGCCTACACCCCAGCTTTTGTATGCATAGATAAATAAAAAGAAATGTTAAAAAATAAATAAAACTACTAAGTATGTGGAACTACACTAAAAGGGTCAATGTTCTTTTATTAAAATTACAACTTTTAAAAAATGTTTAATTAACCAAAAATAAAAACACATTTCAGGACTAAACCTTGTTTACCTCAATTACCTTCAAATTCTAACCAACCAGTTTCAAATTCCCTTTCAGCGCTCTGTTCCTCCTCAATCACACAATTCTCCCCAACCCTCTCTGTTGCTCAAATCCTTCTATGATGTGGAATCTTATGCTCTGTCACTGGCATATACCCTTATCCTTAGTTGTTTGGTTCATTTTTATCTCTCTCTGAACATCCTTTTCTGCTTTAATCACAATATAGTTTCCCACTGAGGCATGCTTCCCCAGCAGCCCTTTCTAGAAGTGTATGCAATTTTCCCCTACATCCCTTGTCTCACTGACCTTGAGAATGTGATACACACCTCTATTCCTTACAATTGAAGACCATTTGTCCTCTCTACTTTGACAAAATTCACAACTGCAAAAAATTCATGGTAACAAGTACTCCCTCTTCCTGCCTATTTCCCCTCTCTTTTTCATCTCCCCCTTTCTGTCCTACAATGACTTTCCAATCTTTAAATTTAATACCATAATATTAAACAGGACCTTAGCTCCTAGCTGTTTCTCTCCTTAATTTTCCATACATCTCTCTGCTGGACCGCCACCGCGCCGCCATCATGGATACAAGCCTCATGCAGCCCATCAAGCTTGCTAGGGTCACCAAAGTATTGGGCAGTACTGGCTCGCAGGGACAGGGCACGCAGGTTCGCGTGGAACTCATGACCGACATGAGCCGCTCAGTCATCCGCAACGTGAATGGCCCTGTTCATGAGGGTGACATGTTCACCCTTTTGGAGTCAGAACAGAAGCTAGGAGGTTGCGCTGAACTTGGTGCTGGGTCCTGGATGATGTCTGGGTCAATCACCTGCCCCGCCCCCCACGTGGACAAGAACCAGTCTACCCACTATCAATAAAGCGTTTATAATGGATATTGTCAATTTTTATTTATTTCATTGAAACAAAAGGTACAATAAGAATAAAATTGCCTCTTTCTATATATTCAAATCTATTAATATAATAACCTAAATAGCTATGTACACTATCTTCCTTTCTATTACAGTGAATTGTGAATGATCACCTCTAAGAACAACTCAAAGTACTGTACTTTGCATCTGTAATTTAATCTCTTTACCAATTGACCAATATTTCTTGATATGTACTGAACTGTTCTTGTCTGCAAAAGAAACAGCTAATATAACCTCCATCTTTAAAAAAAAAAAAAAAGAGAGAGAGAGAGAGAGAGAGGCATTCTGGTGGCCTAAGGATTAAGTCTCAGCACTACTACTTCGATGGCCTGAGTTCCATCCCCGTCCAGGGAGCTAGCCACTCCCCTTAGTAGTGTATTTTCAGTACAACTGCCTGTTTTTGCTCCCCTACTCTGTCTCCAGTGATTCCTCTCACCTTCTGCACCTCTGCCCTGCACCCCAGATCTATGCAAAAACAAATAAAATCGTTTTAAAAATAAATAATAAAAAGGAAAGAAAAATTTTAAATCTTCCTAAGTCACATACCCATTAACAACCTATTTAAAAATATTTACTTTATTTAATTTATACAAGAACTGGGGTACAGGTCAGAGATTTGGGGGTGGGGGTGACATGAGAAGATTCACCATAGATGGAATGGGGAGCAGAACAGGAAGATCTACTAAAATACACTGCTGAAAGATATAAAATCAGCACACAAAAGTCAGAGGCCTTCCTATACACAAACAACAAATCAGAAGAAGAGGAAATTTTTTAAAAATCCCTTTTCAATTAAAATCAAAAGAATCATCCTGGGATGATTCTAACCTATGATAATAAACCTAACAAAAGAGGTAAAAGACCTATACAAAGAAAACTATAAAACACTGTTAAAAGAAATACAAGAAGACAAAGAAATGAAAAGATATTCTCTGCTCATGGGTCAGAAGAATTAATATCATCAAAATGGTCATCCTACCAAAAGCAATATACAGATTTAACACTACCCCAATAAAGTCTCAATGACATTCTTCAAAGATATAGAACAAGTATGCAAATGGAATCACAAAAGATCTCGAATAGCCAAAACTCTCATGACTAAAAATAAAGAGAAAGGAGGCATCATAATCCCAGACTTCAAGCCATACAACAGAGCCATAATAATCAAAACTGCATGGTACTGGAACAAGAACAGACACCCAGACCAGTGGATTCAAATAGAAAATAGAAAACCTAGATAATAACCCCACAGGTTTATGGGCAGCTAATCTTTAACAAAGGAGCAAAAGAGATACAATGGAACAAAGAAAGTTTGTTCAAAAAATGATGCTGGGAAAACTGGGATGCTACATGCAAAAACAAGAAACTAGATCACTACTCGCATCATACACAAAAAACAACTCGAAGTGGATTAAAGACTTAGACATAAGAACAGAAACCATAAAATTCCTGGAAGCAAAGATGGGTGAAACACTACTAGTCATACACTTCAGTAATATCTTTGAAGATACAGCACCCGACTCAACGATAATGAAGGAAAGGATAAACAGATGGGACTACATCAAGTTAAAGAGCTTCTGTACAGCAAAAAAGATGTTACAAAAAACAAACAGACTGGGAAAAAATTTTCTCACACAAACTATCAGTAAAGGATTGATCACAAAGATATACAAAGAACTGATGAAACACAACAAAAATAAACAACTTCATCAAAAAATGGGCAGAAGAGCTAAAAAAGACACCTCTCCAAAGAGGAAATGTAGATGGTCAACAAACATATGAAAAAATGTTCAACATCATTTGTAATAAGGCAGATGCAAATTAAAACCAGAATGAATTACCACCTCACCCCAGTGAGAATGGCAAATCCTAAAAGAACTAGCAACAACAAATGTTGGTGAGGATGTGGAGAAAAAGGAACTCTCCTGCACTGCTGGTGGGAATGCAAACTAGTACAACCACTATGGAAAACTGTTTGGAGGTTCCTCAAACTGCTAAACATTGAGCTTCCATAGGACCCCCAATTCCACTCCTTGGTATCCTCTCAAGAGACACAGAAACACTGATTCAAAAAGACACCTGTACTTCCATGTTTATTGTTGCTTTATTTACAATAGAAAAGACATGGAATCAACCCAAATGCCCAAAAGCAGATTACTGGATTAAAAAGATGCAGTACACAGGGCCCTCCCTGGTGGCGCAGCTGGTTAAAGCACAGCACTAAGAAGCTAAAGCCAGGTCCGCATGAATTCAATTCCTGCCTGCCCCGGAGGTGATCACATGGCATGGCAGATCTCTCCTGACCTGCCCGCTGCTCCCCTCTGCAGTGTACTTCCTCTATCTGCCAGTTATGCTCCCCACTCTGTCTCTGGTGAAGCCTCTCGCCACTCTTGAACCTCTGGTCTGTACCCCAGTTCTGTATGTATAAATAAATAAATCTCAAAAAAAAAAAAAACGCAGTACATAAATACAATGGAATATTATTCAGCAATCAAAAAAATAAACTCATGCCTTTTGCAGTAACATGGATGGAGCTGGCAGGAATCATGCTTAGTGAAATAAGCCAGAAAGAAAAAGAAAAATGCCAGATGGTTTCACTCATAGTAGGAGCATAAAGGACCAGGGGGGAAAAATAATAATAATGAACAACTATATACCACAGACATTTTACAGGGGTGGAGTGGAGAATGAGATCAAATATGTGGGGAGGAGTGCACAGCACTATGGTGATGGCACAAGGGTGATTTGGTAATGGGAAGCCCATGGGGATTACAGCTGAGACAGAAAAAGGCACAAAATGGTGTAAAAATAAACTATTATATTAAACTTTTTTTAAAAGAAAAAAAAAAACTGAAAGGATCACGCTTTTGGTGTCATAGCTAAAAAGTTGCCGCAAACCAAAAGTCATCTGAATTTTCTCCAATTATTCTTCCAGTTGGTTTTTCCTTTTACATCTAGGTCTGTGATCCAAATTGATTAAACTTTTATGAAGAGTGTAAGATATGTCCAAGATACATTTTTTTACATGTAAATGTCCAGTTGTTGCAATGCCATTTGTTGAAAATGGAATTTTTGCTCTATTATATGTCCTTTGTCCTTGTCAAATTAGTTGCTCTATATTTATGAGCATCTATTTCTGGAATCTGTACTGTTCCACTGATCTACTTGCTTGCTTTTTTTTTTTTTTAGATTGAAAGAACTTTAGTAGGATAGTGTGCAAAAAAATAGAAGAAAGAATAAGTGAAACATCCAAGGTTATCCACCCCACTGTGGGTAAATGCCCAGCCCTAGTGGGACATCTGAGGCCCAAAAGCTTGTCACAAGTCTAGGGGACCTTCTAGCAGGGAAATCACTGGAGAGGGGCAGAAAGGTTCAGGCCAGACTGGGATGAAAAAAATAAAAGCAAAGTAACAGTTGCCATTGTCAGCCTCCACATGGATCTCTCCAAATGTCTCTTTCAAGACTCTCTACATGGCTCATTTTCTTCCAACTGGAAGAAAAATTGGAGAAAATTCAGATGACTTTTGGTTTGCGACAACTTTTTAGTTATGACACCCAAAGCATGATCCTTTCAGTTTTTTGTTCATTTTTTAAAAATTTAATATAACAGTTTATTTTTACATTATTTTGTGCCTTTTTCCATCTCAGCTGTAATCCTCATGGGCTTCCCATTACCAAATCACCCATGTGCCATGTCCCTCATGTGTCTCCTTCCATGTCCCGCAAGTCCCTGGTACACATACAAAGCTGAGAAGCAACTGGGATTTATTCACATGTCTGTTTGCTCCCTGTGACTTCTCCAAGTCTCCTCTCCAAGACTTCTTCAGCTTCTTCTTAGTCTATTCTTTGGCCAGACCACATAGTCTTGATTTCTGTAGCACCATAGTAAGTCTTGAAGTTGACTAGTGTCAGCCTTCAAACTTTGTTCTTCTCCTTCAGTATTTTTTTTTCTTGCTCTTCTGAGTCTTTTTTCTTTCCATGTACATTTAAGGATCAGTCTGTCCATATCAACAAACTAATTTAATAGGATTTTTGATTTTTTGATTGGGATAACATTGATTCCATAGTCAAGTTGGAAGAACTGACATCTTGACAACACTGATCCTTTCCATCCATGAACATAAAACATTTCTCCTTTATTTAGTTCTTTGATTTTGGCAGATTTGACTCTGTTCCTCTTGAAAAAGTCTATAGATATCACTTATATCCAGTTGAATAATGGTGTTGTTGAGTTCAATACATCCTAAGAGGTTTTCTTCTGGCAAGATCTATCCATTTGCTGTAAGGGTGATTTCATTCACCAGAGATTTGTTTTCTTCATATAAGTCTTGTAGATTGTTACATTTATCTGTAAGTATTTTGTTATAGATTTATTTATGCATACAGAACTGTGGTACAGGCCAGAGGTACTGGGGGTGAGAGGAATCGCCGAGAGAGGGTGGGGAGCAGGGCAGGCAGATTGACTGAACTACACTGCTGAGTGGAACAGCAAGTGGGCCAAGAGAGGTCCGGCACACCATGTGATTCACTTCCCGAGCCTGGAATGTAGTTCACGATGCAGGTAGCTGAGGCTTGCTGCATAGTGCTGGGCTTCATTGCACCACCAAGGAAGGCCCTGTAAGTATTTCTTTTTAATTAATTTGTCAGTAGTAATACCTCTAAGTACTCTTTTTGTGTGTAAATAAAAATAGTATCTTGGTTTTGATTTCAAATTACATTTGTTCATAAAAAATTGATTGATAATTTAATGTTATCTTACAGGTGCTAGAATTAATTTCCAGTTGCATTAGTTTTCTTTGCAATTTTTTCACACTTTCTACATACACAATCATGTTATCTTTTTTTTTTAAGATTTATTTAT